TGTGTTTATTTATTTTCAAAATAAATTTTTGATTTGTTGATATGATTTGCACGTTTTAATGGAATTCATTAGGTGATTATTTCAATGACGTTTAATGTTAGACAATATATATATATATATGTATCACGAGATGATAATAATCAATGGTTAGATACCCTAAGTGACATGGCTCAAAACCGTTTCCGTTTGCTGACTAAAGGACGAGTGCAGTAGTTCGCTCCGTCTTACTTTATGGCTGTGAAACATGGCCAGTGAGAGTAGAAGATATTCGTAGGTTACTGGTTTTCGATCATAGGTGTCTTCGAAGTATTGCTCGTATATCGTGGGATACCCGAGTGAGCAACGCTGTTATTGGAAAACGGGTGCTAGGTAAGGATGGCAGATCAATAGATGAAGTAATGAAACTTCATCAGTTGAGGTGGTTGGGACATGTGTTGCGTATGCCGAACCACCGACTGCTTCGTCGAGCTTTGTTTTGTAGTGTAGGAATAGGTTGGAAGAAAGCCGGTGGCGGCCAAACCAAAAGATAGCAGAAATCCATGAAGTCATTGACAAGTAGACTGAGTCATTTTGGTAGATGTAGGCTACCTGGTTGTGGTCCGCGAGATGATAATAATCGATGGTTAGAGACCCTGAATGACATGGCTGAAAACCGTTTGCAATGGCGCCAGTGCATTTATTCTTTGTGTTCTCTCAAATCCTAATCTTCTGGATTCTTCAACACCCTAGTTTTGACTTTTTAAACTTTTCCCATTAAATCATACTTCTTGAATAATATCTTCTAATCCGAACCTCTCCGATTACTCTTAATACCTTTACTACCTCTTCTACTATTTTGGATTTGAATTGACAATTATATTTCTGTACTGATGTGGTATGGCGACATGAACTGATGTACTTACGTACGAAGTTCTACGTTGCATCTGAATGACTGCTCAAAACCGTTTACAATGGCGCAGGTGCATTTACTCTTTGTGTGTTCTTTGAAATTCTAATCTTCTGAATTTGTCATCACCTCTTATCTTTCTCTCTTTAAATTTACCTCACTGAATTATACTCTCCCTGAATAACATTTTTGAACCCTAATCTCTCCGATTACTTACTTCTAATACTTTTACTACCTCTACTACTATGGGATTTGAATTGACAATTTGATTTGTCTGTGCTAATATGGTATGACAACTTGAACTGCTGTACTTACGTGCAAAGTTCTTTATACGCGCTGTGATTGGTTGTTTTTAGCTAAGAGAAAATATCACACCATTGTCTCTCCGCCAACAAAAATTCAATATTCACATCAGGCATATGCTTCAATAATTGTCAGGTTTTAGGAATTCAACGAAGAAATCTATTTCCTATTTTCTAATTTCTCGTTCATTGCGCAATATTCATTTGATATTTCAAATATCGAATCAATTTATGATGTAACCTCTTTTTATTCGTCTATAGACTTAATTGTTCATTAGACAGCTAACTATAAATACTACTATAAGTGTACAACAAAACATATGGTAATGAAATAAATTTCCTATATGACTTCATACATGTTCTATCGATAAATCCTATGACTAACTAGGTAGCTTAGCTATAAAAAGTTATGTATGAAAGTATATAAGGAACGTATGCTTCAGTCAGACACTTGACAATCAACAAGGGAACGATAAGAGACGTTGTGAAAAATACTTGTGAACTGGAGTGACAGAAATTGCAAACTCAGTAAATGATGGGTGACCTAGTATTATTTACAAGTATGCTACGACATGCTGTCATTCATCCATCCTCAAAGTTATATATATATAAACAACAGAATGACTGCCTAGATTTTAGAATCAATCACATGATTGTTTATTAACAGGTATATTCAGCCACCTAAACAATATCAGTACAAGTATATTATGATGATGGCCCTGAGCAAACCGGTTACGTTACAGAATTAGAGTTGACGGTTAAAGCGCAAACTTTACATATCAATCAATGTTGTCATACGATCGTCTTATTGCTTGCTGATTTTAATGGATTTTCCGAAAAAGCTTCAATTCTTCTGTCAATCATTAGACAGCCAGGAATAATAAGCTACTCTGGCACGCCTGTAAAGCGTATCGGTATCTTCATAGACACAAATATATCCGTTGCAAAGTGTCACAGAAGAGTCGATTTATAGACCCAGACATAGTTGTCCACACTAACAACGTAGAGGGTATGTGGGATCGACTGAAAAGCTTTCTTTAGTTTTATATATCAAATCCTATGAATTCATATAGACCAGTTTATATACCGGTCATAATATGACCTTAATATCAAAGGTCCTATTGAGAATGTCACTAGTCATGTAAAGCTATTTATACATACAACAATTAAATTCTCGTTAGCTCCCTAAGGTCATTTGAGAATGATCCAAGGCCGCCAGTGTAGTATTGTATTAGAGTCCAAAAGTCAGCAACCAGTCTTTATACAATATTTTAAATGTGTAAAAACACAAAAACCTCCAAAACTCTGCCTCAAAATATCGTAACAGTGCTCACTAGTGACTAGCTTCGTGAGGAAATTCTCGGAGTTCTAGATGAGAAGACGTGACTAATGAAGTTCAACCCTGTCGGGTGTAGGCAGTAACTACCAAAGACAAATGGATGAGGTCGCGCAAAATCCCTAGATCAATCAGAGTTAGACATTAACACCGTTGGATGCCGGCCCAGTGGTCCGATGGTTAGGCGTTCGCGCACAATACCGAAGGTCCCGGGTTCGAGTGCTGCTAGGTCCAGGAGTCGTGGATGCGCACTGCTGATGAGTCCCATACCAGGACGAAACGGCCATCTTTCAGTGCTTCCAGGTTTCTAATGGTGGTCTAAAAATGGTTGATTGATGATTTCAAATGTGTAAACACACAAAAACCTCCAAAACTCTCCCCGACAATACTTATATTTCAAACTGTTGTTTACACAGGAACAAACCAAAAGCGGTTATTTGTAAGGGATACTGTAAGTAATAGACTGACAACCAATTTTATGTGAGAGTAGTTTGTAGGTTGACGGAATAATAATAATAATAATTCGGAAAACTATTTTCAACTTTTAAAATATTCGTTCAGTGGTTGTCTTATAATACACCTTGAAATTAGAATCAGTTAGATATCTGTAAAAAGTATGTCAATTACTTGGTTAATTATATAGTTTAATTTTTGTTACTTAAATTCAAGTATATCTCTTTACTTGATAAAATGAACTAAATTTTCAATAATTCGACCTAAGAAAAAAAATCTTTTTAGTTTATGTTGGTTTTTGGCTAAATTTGTTTGTTTTCTTTTTTTGCCTTCTTTTCAAAATGTCCTAAGAATGATTCTCCTTTCCGAATTTTTCTATAGACTACTTTTTTTTTTAAAACTGGAACAGAGTTTTACTGTAAATGTGTTTTTGAAATGAACTGCTCTGTCTGTCAATCTGTTTTGTTGTGTTTTTTTTGCCTATGTGTATTTATTTGTTTTATAAGTAAGTTTTGAAAGTGAAAACTCTAATAGCAATTATCATTCATCATCCAGGTTTTATTTTAGATGGTGGTTAAACGCCCTTAAACGAAATTTATAGCTATTATTGATATGAATGTTGGAGCTGATAGTTTTTAAATAAATTGCATATTGAGTGGAAAAATAATAAAATAATTTTTTGATGATTTTTATATACCAATAAATATAGCAGTTTGTGTGTTTCTGACGTTTCGTGACATAATTTAGGTCACTTCTTCGATATAAACAACTAAAATAAATTAACACAATTTTAAATGGTAAAAAGGAAACAGTAGACTACTTTTAGTAAAAAGGCTTTGGAAGATTGTTGAATTCTATACTGTACATTAGGAACTGACTAGTGAGCAGTAAACAACTACTTCGCTTCAGTGTTATACTACTCAATGATAAACCATGTAAGCGGGTATGCAAATTACTTGTTTTCGGTGTGTGCTCAATTACGGTCAGTAGTGGTTGAAGACGTTGGGTAATAATAATGCTCAGTGTCGTTTTCAGTGGCTTAGGTGCATTCATCACTCTTTTCCTTTCTGCAAATTTTTAGTTTCTTAACTATCTTGAATCCCTTTATAGTACGGATTTCAGCAAATCATAACTTCCATGCCCGATTGCTTTGCATGCATGTAAACACGTCATTTTGATGTGCTTGAACTATTGTGAGTTTACCTTAGTTGGAAAACGAGAGCGAGGATCCGTCGACACGACCTGCTACTCTAATCCGATTGTCCCAAACCCCCATTGAGTAAAAGATGAAGACTTGATATGAAGTAGAACCTGTATTCTACAAGCGTCCAGAAAGTACGAGGTCCGAGTCCAGAATAAGATAAGGATCCCAGGCTAAGGATCCAGGTCCTAGGACGTTACAGATAATGCGTATTTATACATTTAGGTTGAATAGAAAACAGTATCGAAGTCTATGATATTGACAGTTAAGACGACCAATAGGAAGCAAATATCTAGGACGATCATAAAATCGACCAGTAGAAATTAAGCAATAGGAATTGACTAGTTATTCTCTTAGGATACTGGATGAATATCCTAACACCAATTTTTTTTATACTACCACTTAATCTGCTACTATCTGAACTACTCTTACATCTCTGTGCTGACATTGTGTATGATGATTTGAATCAGACTACCTTATATGCCAGAATCTACTTTGTATATGACTGACTGACCTCGGCTCGGATGGCAGTCACTTAATTTTTAGGCCATTTATAATTTATATTGTCTAACTTCAATTGATTTTCAATTTTGTGCAACCATCTTCCAGTTCCTTTAGCGGATAAACTATCTTAGTTTTCTGTTGCAACTTACTCATTGATTTTTAGATATCATAAACTTTACTATGATTCACACCAAAATGCTTTATTCTCCAAGTTTCCTTTGTTATTCCTCGTTTCTCATATCGTATAGGTTAAAGAGGATAGTTTCTTAACTGTTTTTTTTCTTGTTTCATACTTTCTGTACACATACATGTTTGTAGATTGTCATGTGAAGCATTGGGATCTTGGCTTGTTAATCATAAAACGGTAACCAAAAGTCATCATGATATCACTGACGATCATATCTATACAAATGGATCTCGAAAAAGCTCTGATTTTCGTACACGAACAGATTCAATAGAACAGAGTCATACATCTTCAAATGGATCTGGTCTATCAAGTGTTACATTTTGGCAGACAATCAAAAGTTTACATGAAGCACGAACTAATCCAGTTGGTGTGGATCTTAGTCGTCTTCAACAAGGACCACTTATCACAAATACAAGAGGATCAATTCTTATTGCTGGTGGAGTGTCAGATGCACAGTATCTATCTTCTGTTGAAGCCTACATTCCAGATAGAGATGAATGGGTTTATATGCCATCTATGTTACAAGGTATAAGAATGTCTTATTAAGTAATATTGTCAAATTTGAATTACAGCAAAATTACTGTTATTGTAAAAAATGTAGTTATCTCATTGTATGCTCTGATTTCACTTAATCTCTTCTAAGTGATTGTTTTTCAGTAGCTTTAAGCTTAAACGCCTTGTTTTTTCTGACTCATTTGGTTTTTTTCTAAAGATTTATTTCAGAGGACTTAAATTTAATATAACTCCTTTATTAGTATCTATGACTGCGTTGTAATCATACTATGTGGATCTGTTGTAATCATTATGGAATTATCGTACATTTAGCTAGTTCAATAAGAACTGGCTATATCTGTGTCGGATACTTTCACCAACTATAACTAATCTCATGAAAGCAGTCTAGTTGAACAGTGACTTTCTTTTTGTCTAAACTGTAGACTAGAAATAAAGATGTCATCGGTGATTCGCAGTTTCTGAGATCTGAATTCCGAACAATCGCCGAACTGACTACTCTAACAAGAATGAAAGAAGGATTCTATTTGGTCACTAAATAGTATACATAAATACTCATGCGTTCCTTCCTCTTAATAAGTGGATCCACTTCTCTACCAAGACGAGTACTAGGTAACGATGGCAGATCAACAGATGAAGTGGTGAAACTTCATCAGTTGAGGTGGTTGGGACTTGTGTTACGTATGCCTAACCACCGACTGCCTCGACGAGCTATGTTTTGTGGCGTGGGAGTAGGTTGGAAGAAAGCTAGGGGTGGCTAGACCGAAACATGGCAGAAATCCATGAAGTGACTGACAAGTGGACTGAGTCATTTTGGTAGATGTAGACTACCTGGTTGGGGTCCGCGAGACGATAGTCACCGATGGTTAGAGACCTTGAACGACATGGCTCAAAATCGTTTGCAATAGCGCAAGTGCATCCATTCTTTGAGCTCTCTCAAATCCTAATCTTCTGGATTAGTCAGCACCCCTACCTTTGTCTTTCTAACCTTATTTCACTTAATTATACTTCTTGAATAATATCTTCATTACCATTAGTACCTCTACTATTTTTATCACTATGGGATTTGATTTGACATCTGCGTCTTTGTGCTAATGTGGTATGGCAGCATGAACTTGTGAACATACGTACGTAGTTCTACGTTGCAACTGACTGACTTCTCTACCAATGATATTCATTCGTCCTTCGAGACCTTCTGATGGTCATCAAATGACCTTCTCATTTGGCCACTTTTGATTGGCTCATTATATCAATTAGATCTGTCATCAATGATAAAGCATAAGATCTGATCTTAGATAAGTCTGTTTATATAGGAAAATCTTGTTATCTCTCAAGAAGACTCTGTTATATACTTGCCCAGCTGAGAATTACTTTCTTATTTTTTTTTATGGAATGAATATGTTTATCATCATTATTTAACGATTATTAATAATTTGTTTTGTCTGTGTACTTAAAATAATAATAGGTCGTCGTGAAGCTTGTGCCAATGTCTTGACAACACGAAATCTGATTGTTGTTATCGGTGGAGTTGTCAATGCAAATAGTTCATATGCAACAAGTCAAGATGTGACTGTTGAAGCATTAGATCCTCGTTGTGACACATGGTTTTATATTCCTAGTCCATTGAGCAATTCTGTTGGACAATTACGTGGAGCTAGTTTAACATATTGTCCAAATACAAAAGGTAAGTAATTTTGATAGTTTGAATCTATTAAGATGTGAGAAGAAGAAAAAGCAATTTCTCTTTTTCTATTTACTTTCACTGTTGATTAGGTGGTGGATGGTTGTACGTTATCGGTCTTTCTGATATGTTTGAATGCTATTACGAGTTAACCTATTTGGTAAATGGAACGAAGTTTAACAATGCAGTGAGTGACACGATAGGCTATTCTAATCCGTTTGTCCCAGCCATGGCTAACTAAAGCAAGAAGTCTTGATAAGGAGTAGAGAATTGTATTCTACAAGCACTCAGAAAATTTGCAGTTTGCTAAGCACACAAATCAACCTTATTTATACGATGATAGAAACATCGTTAGGAGAGCCATATAATAGCGTACTAAAAAAATCCGTCAACCAATGTACAGTTAAGGATTTCCGAGTGGGAAATGTAAGCTATAATAGGTCATCAACTAAGCATCTGTTGGTGTGAAAACATAAAAATTCAAAAAATTTCAGAAATAAACTACAAAATTACGACCTTTTTTTGGAATGAGTTCTGGGAATCTAACGTCCCAAACACCTTCAGCCTTCATCAATTCATTTCAAATGATAAAAGTCATCCAGATTAAATTAAACTAAATTATCTAATATCTAGGTGGTTAATTGTTCCAAAGGTCCTGTGTTCGATCCTATGCATGCATAGTCATGGATGCGCACTACTAAAGTGCTCTCATGCTGAAAAGAAACAGCCATTCATTGTTTTCAACTTTTCAATGGTTACTTTACCTAGATCGGTTTGGAATTAGTATAAAATATAAAAAAGTATGTATATATAGCAACACTAAAAAT